GGCTGAGGCAGGAGAATTGCTTGAGGCCAAGAGTTTGAGGTTGCTGTGAGCTGTGATGCCAAGGTTGAGGTAAGTGACAAAGTGGAACTCTGTCTCTCAAAAAAGAAAAAAAAAGAAAGAAAGAAAGAAGGTTTTCCATGTGGATATATCCCTGGGCAAAGATTCACTACCCAATTATTTACAATAACAGAAATAGAAGCAAACGAAATAGTCTGTGGTAGAGAATCAGTTAAATCACTTGAGGCACACTGATAGAATGAAATACCATGCAGCTCAGCTGATGAACATTTTATTTATAACAGGTTTGTGAAACATGGAGAAATGCTTATGATGGGATAATTGAGAAAAGCAAGATGCAAAATTGAACATACAAGATAATTACTCTGTTAAAAAAAAATAAACACCAGAAAATTAATGTGAAGAAAAAAAGAATAGAAGGAAATACAAGACGAAATAATGATCGTCTCTGCCGAGTGGTGAGAATATGGATTGCTTTGGCTTCTTCTTTTCTTTACTTTCCCATCTTTCTAAGTTTTGCGTACTAAGCAGCCGTCATTTCACTTTTTAAATAAAATAGAAAAAGGAAAAAAACCCAGTAGTTCTGTTATGCTACCCCCACCTCCCACCCCTTCTGTAGGGGGCTAGACTCAGGGTCCCCTTCTGCCCTGTTACCTCTCTTCTCCCTTTTAGACCCTCACTCAGCCACTTGGTTTCCTTTCCCAGCTATGAGAACCCACCCAGAAGTGACCCCTCCCAGACAAAGAAGGAGCCAAGGTTTTCTCTACCATTTTTCCAAAAGCCTGGCTGGGGAGTCTACCAAATGTTTACCCTAAGCTGAAGGGTCTGCATATTCATCAGGCCTACTGGTCTTCAAAGTTGATGTGAGAATCGCTGCAGGCACTTTTCAGATATGCAGAGTCTTGGGCTCAGACACAAGCTTGGACCAGATGCACTGAGCCTTGCCCGGCTTGGATCGGGCTGCCGTGTGCCCTGCTCAGGCATGTGCACATACGGGTAGGTCCCAGTCTCTGGCTGCAATTGTGAGGCCACCACACCAGGCTCCAGGGCTGAGAAATGCTTCTAGGTCAGGTGGGGGCATGCAGGAGGGCAGCCGGAGGTGCGTGGAGAGAGCCCTGAAGTCTGGGCAGGTGGACTCTGAGGCTGAGGCAGGAAGCTATGGGAATTAGTGTAGAACCAGCCATTCAGCTTCATGGCCATCTGGCCAGGAGGGCCTTCTACAGCTATACGGAAATGAACTTGGAGAAGCCCAGCTTCTCCTCACACATGTGGAGGGGGGACATCGGGATCAAGTCCCCTTCGGGGGCCGGGGAAGTGGCTTCCTCTTCCTCTATAGTCTGTAAAAACAAGAGTGGGGGTTGGGAAGCAGAACCCTGCTAGGGGTCTTCTCCAGGTAGCTGGTACATTCCCCAGCCACGCCTCTGTCCATCTGCAGGGGCACAGGACCTAACAATGTCTCCTCCCTAGAACCCCCAGGCTTTCACTTGTGCTCCCCTGCACCCTCTATTCACCCCTCCCCTGGGAAGAATCTTCAAGGCCTCAGGCCAGGGTCGGGCCACAGCTGTGGGCATCCTGCCAACCCAGGGCTCTTTGTGCTGAGACTCCCAACAAGCTATTGAAGAATTTTATGGACTGGAAAAAAAGAGCATATGAGGCCAAGAGCCCTGGCTTCCTGGGTGAAATGGCCTCGGCTTTTGTCTACAATGGGGTAGGTGGGCAGATGCAGGGGTGTAAACTTTGGGGAGTGGTTGCTAAGAAAGAGCCTCCCTGACATTTTAACATTGTCAGAGGGGAGTCAGGTAAGATGGCCCCAGACCCTCAGGCCCTTCTCTCCACACCTGGCTTAGGTACTGGATCTCTGTGTAGGGGCTGGCAGAGGGCTCCGGTCTGGCGAGGGGCCCAGTGGGCCCTGCAGGGTGGATCATAGCGTACTCTGGGTCTCGGCCATTCCCCAGGGGCTGTAATAGAGACTCAGTCAGAACAGCGCGTTCTTGGCAGCAGGGATGGTAAGCTGAGCACAAGCCAAAGGGGGGAAACATGGGAGGGAGAGGGCAAGGCAGGAGGGGTGCAGAGGGGAAGAACACTTAGCTCCCATGTGGGCCCTTTCAGGGGGTCTCTGCTATCTTTCTTCCAACATCTTGCCCCCTAGAGCCCTTTTGCTCACTGGTCCCTTGCTATTTCCTGTCCCTTCCCAACTCAGTATGGCCAGGCCAGGTGCCTCGGGCAGGAAAAACTCCAAGGCAGCCCTTCCTGGAGTAGGTGGAAATAGCATCGTGGGAAGATGTAGCTGGTACAGGTGCCCTTGGCCTCCCCATAACCAACCCCCACTCTGGAGTTGAGTGGGGTAAGCCCCAGGCCACAGGATGCACAGCCAGGGGGTTGGGCTCTAGTGGTGGCCATTGTGACCCCCACCCATCCATCCATCTGTCTTCATGACTTTTCCC